CTTCATTAAGCATCCTGCAACCCTCCTACAATCCGTGCATTTTTCCACAAGCATTTCATACTTCCAAAGCAATTTATCCAGGACAGTGGGCTCCCTGGACAGGGTGCTGGTTACTTCACGGGGCCACAAGGGCATATGCAAGAGCGGGGCCACAAGGGCTCTCCGTCCAGGTGAAAGCTGATTGGCCCCCAGAGGGCTCCTTCCCCTGTCACTCACCAGATGAAAACATGCATTTGTTTGAGGTACAATAACATGGTTAGAGGCCCACCCAGATTTCCACATGTTACTGAGAGGTTCATAACATCAGTTTCTGCATCCTACAAACCTGACAGTGACAGTTACATGCCTGCCCCCCCCATCCACATCAGTTTTCATTCAGGCGATGATTGCAGGTCGAGTGGTTGCCATGTCAACAGGGCCCATAGCCACGATCATCATGTGATCCGTCATAGCAGTCCTACTCTTTCATTAAGTCAGGGCAGTGAACGCAGTGGCCCTTTACAGGCACTGCTGTTGGACACCCAAATTTACCCTGGAGCAGCTCAGGTAAAGCTCCAGACATTTGGGGTGGTAGACACTCACCCTGACGAGAAGCCGGATGACCCCGGTGGCCTTGGGGGACAGGTAGTACCAGAAAATTAGCCTGCAGGTGGCGCTGGACTCCTTCCATACGGAGCTCCTCATGTGGGCTTTGTCTCCTTTCAGGCCCACTGGGGAGGCCTCCAAGTAGACAAAGTGTCCTGGGGGGGTGGGCAGGGAAGGAGAGTGAGGGCAGAAGTAAGATGGACATGGAGAGAAACAGAAAAAGTGGACAAAGATGGGGAGAGAAGGGAGAGATAGTGGCAGAGGATGGAGAGAGGAGGGGGGAGAGAGAGAGTGGAGGGGAGAGAGAGGAGATAGAGAGAAGCAGAGAGAGAAGAAATGAGGGACATGAACTTTCAGTGAAGCTAGGTTAACTGACACATGGATTCACAAAAAAAACGGATGGGAAATAATGTATGATAGATGTGTGTGAGTGGGTGTGGATTAGGTCTATAATACATTCTGAGGACAAAATGTCCCCCACATAGTAATAAAAGCCCACAAAGATCTGTGACTGCAATCAAAAAAGTAAAAATGCCAAATGTCTCATATTTTGTTTGGCTACCTATGCTTGAGGTTAGGGCTGGGTAGGTGTTAAGGTTGGGATTAGAGCCTTCTCCATAGAAATGAATGGAGAGTCCCTACAAAGATATAATTACGTACCTCTGTGTGTGTGTGTGTGTGTGTATGCGTGTGTATGTGTGTGTGTGTGTCTGTGTGTGTATGCGCTTGCACACGGTATAAGCAGATAAAATAACCTCCTCTAATGCAATGTTTTTTAATTTCACATTTTACTGTTCCACTTTTCATCTGCTTTTTCATTTCATTTCAATGATAAACAAATGACTTCCTCACATAGGAAAATCAGTAATGATATCGCCGCCGTCCTGGGAAGAATGAATATCCTGAATGATGTTGATTTTTTTCAGTTCGGGCGCCCGAAGTGAAAAATGGACAATTAGTAGATAGATGTGCGTGTGGAAGATGGAATATGCACTATGGAGATCGGGGTTAGACACCTCGACGATGTCAGACATGAAGACGGATTACACACGGACAACCGGGGTCAGCAAAGAGGAGCGGGAATATTTTGAATGGTTAATGACTTCAGCATTAAACATTCTTTTCTGTCACTACTAGAGAAGGTCAGGGTCGAGTCAAGATTGGGTTGGGTGGGATCAGGGTAATAAAATGACCACAGTCCAAGCTGTTCTTCTGCAGTGACCTTCAGTACAGTTCCCGTGTTTACCAATTTCTCAAAGTACTCAGGTGTGTCCCAATTAAATCCAAGGACCACTTGTACACTTGCTAAGCTAACATGTTAAGTGGGACGCTACATGTTCGGAAGCTTCTAGCAATGAAGGACCGTATTGGGACTGACCTTCTGTGGTGTGGAGAGGGAATCAAAATTTTTGTGATGTTGCTAAGAAACGACACCCTCCCCAGACACAATCATACTTATTACTACCAGCTTTCCTGCCGATGGGGACTGGCTAAAAGAGTTACCAATACCCCTCAAGGAATGATCTCCAACAATACAGAGCCCATACACGACCTGTACAGAAAGCACCCCTTCCCCCAGACTTCTGACTGTGGCTAATGACCCTCTCCGAGAGCGTTACCGTGCTCGCTCCCCAGCGTGTGATCCACAGTTGGCCGGAGGCTCTGCACGGAGCCCGCCCCCCGGGTCCAGTCGAAGTTGTCAGCATGGGAGTTCTTCCACCCGCAGAGGGAGTTTTCGAAGGAGCAGGATGTCCCACAGGCAGCCTCATCGGTGCTGTCGCCGCAGTCGTCCTCAAAGTCACAGCTCTGCTCTGGCTGGTAGCACCCCCCATTCCCACAGGGGAGGTGACCCCAAGGGCACGACCCTGCACATACATAATAAATAATAAATTATATACACACACAAACATACAGCTCTTGAAAAAATTAAGAGACGACTATATATTTTTTAAATCTGCATTTTACAATCCTGGTTTAATTCTGGTTTAATCCTGGTTTAATCCTGGTTCTGCTGGTAGTAGGTTGCTACTCAGGTTCAAAATTTTTAAAACAACGGTACACAAAAACATGGTAAGACAAGAAACACTGAGGACGACCAGAAGATAATTAGAAGGCAGAAGTGACTTTCTAATGTCAAAGATGACTGTCAACTTATCCGACAGTTTCTCATGAATCGCATTATGTCATCAAGTAACCTTCAGAAGGAATGGAAAATATTAAGTGGTGTGAAGTGCACTGCTAGGACAATTCATAACAGGGTCCTAGAATAGAAGCAGGACTGAAGTCCCATAAAGCAAGGCAAAATCCCTTCATTAATGTGGTACAGAGAAGAACCATGCTGTAGTTTGCTCTCTCTCTCTCTCTCTCTCTCTCTCTATCTATATCTATATCTATATCTATCTATATAGAGAGAGAGAGAGAGAGAGAGAGCAAACTACAGCATGGTTCAGGAATGTGAGCCACGGGATTCCTCAGTACCCACATTCCAGAGGGATCTGGCCTGGGGGGTCTCACTTAAGCCACAGCTGGAGAGACACCCGCCTGATGACTGGGAAGACTGGAGAAATCCCCGCTAATCCTTTTGTTAAGGTACTTCAAGGTTTCTGGCAACTGAGGAGGACAAACCATTTACTCAAGTTCCAACCAATGGCATGGCACTCCTCCCCAGTTAAAGCATCCCTTTAATATGCTGCTCGCTGGTCTGGCCACCGCTGGAACAAAAGCTTCTTGCCAAAGGAATCCCCCCCCCCCCCAAACTCTTCATTCAGCCTCTAGCCCAAGGAGTCACCTCTGTGATCTTTTTAGAGTCAGAGGATATTATCCCAAGAGACGAATCGCTCTTGTCACAGTATTCAGGATTGAGACCACGGTCCCCCTTCTCCTATCAGCTGCAGCTCCCCGAAAGAGTCCCCACTTCACCCCCTTTAATCCCAGAAGTCTCGATTTGAATGTGATAAGTTCAAGTCCCTAGCTGCACACCCCCAAGACTTCCCCTCCTCTCAAGAACCCTGAAGGATTTCCTTCAACATTCCCCTGAATTTCACAATCCCTTTTAAAGTCCACAAACTTTCTGGAATAGATTTCTCTGGGATTTTCTCCCAAGATGTGCAAGGTGAAAAAGCCCAACCAGTCCTTCATTACAGGTTTTGCCAAACTTGAACCAGATAAATGAATTTGTTAAAAAACAGGTAATATATTTACAATAAATTATTATTACATATTTATATGACTAACACAAGCCATATTTTCAAATATAATTTCACTGTATAATTTCATTTTAATGAACTTAAGTTCAAATAGCATTTCCATCTGACCAGTAGGGGGTGTAATTGCATCTCCTGCACCTCCCAGTAAGTTGCTTCTTCCTTCCAGTCCCAGTATGACACGTCATTTGTACTGATGGGTGAAATTACTCTTTTTGGGACATAGTTCGTTTGATTCAGTTCACCTAAAAGATTCTTCATGCACCAGCTCTTTCGTTGGCACTCCCTGTTTGCAAAAAAATAATTCTGAAACAATTGTGTACCAATTTGTCAAAAGAACAGCCTATTATTTAGGCTAAACGGTGCTACGGAGTACCAGCAATAAGACATGTGAGAAAAATATTATTCACTGAATTACAGTTAAGTCTCTCAACATAATACCTTAACTCATTTTTGTTGAAAAAGCAAAACTAACAGCTCATTACATAGTCAGCTAACGAGTCCAAACATTAACATTAACATTAACAGGCCCTGTTGTGACCCCTCAGCATCCCGTGTTTCTATGTAATCATGGAAAGATGGACACTGTCTGAGGAACATGCAGACATTCTAATCGAGTTTCTGTGGGGTGAAGATGAGTGTGATAGGGATTGACCCTCAGCCTTCCTCTGCCTGACATGTCCTCCTGGAGGTGCGGCATCCTCCGATAGCACGGCGAAAGCTTTCAGTTCATTTTCCAGGATTCTGCTGTGACTGAAGATCTGCTTCACCAGGTTCGAAAATCCATAAACGAAAACATGAGTCTGGAGTCTGAACAGCTGGTGCTGGTGGGGCAATCAAAATATTTTAAATGTGGTAGAGATTGGAAGTTTTGTGTGTGTCTGGGGGGGGGGAACAAACAGAAGAGTGCTTTGCTTTTAACGGAGGCGCAGGCGACTAGCTGATTGCCCATTCAGATGTTAATTGATGATGAAGCAGCCGGTGAATCTTTGGCAAAGATTTTCACTCCTGGTAGAGGCATGAACATTATGCTCTAAAAGCCTGTTACATGGAAGATGTAAAGTGAACAACATTCTACTTAGAGCATGGGGTTGTGGGGGGGTATATAATCCATTTCCTCAGTCTTTTTTTCCCTAGTCTGCTCATCCAGGTCAAGGACATGTACTGTAACACTTCTAGAACAAGATATCTTTAGACACACACACACACACACACACACACCTGAAGTCTTTGGACAGAGAGAGAAGCTCAGATTCTCACAAAGAAACCCACACCATGCTAACTGGAAAATGAGGGTACCATGTCACCCACTCAGCAACCATACCCACCAAGTCACAGCTGCTAAAACATTCCCACACCTGCAGCTTTACATTTCAAGCATCGTCACTGGTGAGTAAGTATGTGTGAACAGAGGTGATTGGCTAAAGTGTACCTGACGTTGGGGGAGGCGTGGCCCCGGGATGGTCCACAGAAGAGGTCAACAGACACCCCTGGGTGAAGGAGATGTCATCTAGGCAGATGTCCCCGTTTGAGCCCGGGCCGACCGTGCCCTCAAACACGAGCCTGAAGTCTGAGTAAGTGGTGATGGTGCCCAGGTCCACCTCACAACGCTGCCAGTAGCTGCCCTGGTCACCGGTCAGGTTGAGCAGCATCCAGCTATGGAAACTGCTGGCCAGCAGGACGGAGAGGGAGCCCACGCCCTCCCCAGACATGTAGAGGTAGAAGATCACCTGGAGGAGAAAGGATGAACGCTGATTCTTAAAATTACGGAAGCCCTGAAGGGCAAAACACACCAGCAAATATGAAAACACACCAGCAAATATGAAAACACAACAGAAAATATGAAAACACGCCAGAAAATACAAAAACACAGCAAGGGGGGATCCGTTCCGATCACAGATCAATTATGGTCTGCTTACACCACTAGTACGTTTATCAAAATTGTAGTGGTGAAGTTAGATAGACATTTATTGTAGGTGCTTGACAGTTGTTCTGCTACATGAGATGGTCACCCTCAAGGAATACAATTAAGGGATGTTGAAAATAGGCTACCAATCAGAGGACACCTGCCCCCTGACTTCAAACCCACTCAGGTTTTGGGGAATCCCCCCTGATGGATGAGTTAGGGTTATGGTTAGAGTTAGAGCGAACGACACATCCTCAAGCCACTCAGCCCCATGTGAATCCCCCCCCCCCCCCCAAACACCATAAACAGTTATTTAAGTATTATTTAACCAATTTCTCAGCACAGTTTCACTAGGAAACAACTCTGCTGTTAACTAGGTGGGTAAACTTACAGGCTGTCCAGCAGCATGTACAACGCAGGCCAATGCAGGAGGAGCAATATGGCAGAGCAGGCAATATACCTGGACACCCGTGGGGTCCTCACCTTGCATTGTTGGCTCCTTGAGCTGAATGTGGGACTGAGTATGCGGGCAATGTCTTTCTCTGCCTGCGGGAAGGAGCTCCTAAGGTAGATGTAATGTCCGGAGGGGTCCCTCAGGGTGTGGTCCGTGGGCGGGCCTGTCCCTCCCACAAGGCTGCCACCCACTTTGGTCAGCCAATCAAAGTCATCCTCCCGGCACTGGCGCCAGGAGCACAGGTCGAACTCGAAGTTGCAGCGGCCGCTGAAGCCCCCTGCAGGACAGGCAAGGAGCATCACTGCTGTTCCCAGGTGACTGGAAATGACATCACATCTGTGGGTGGGCTACCCGACCACCTGAGACTTAAAAAGTGGTTTCAGGTACTCAGCAAACTGCATATAAGGAGATAAGCAAGCTTCTGAGCATGGGAAGGGAGTATTTAAAAAATTAAAAAGAAAAATATTTATGAATATTCAGCATAATATAGCATTTAAATGTGTATGGGAAAAAACAAAAATGCATGAAGAGGTAAGAAGAGAGTGTGGATCCAAGACAGGGAAATAAAGAGAGAGAGAGAGAGAGATGAGGTGGAGGGGAAAAAGACGGTATGGGACGTCATGGGAGGAGCCAGACACTCACTGCAGATGTGGGGGTCTTCGTCGGATGTGTCCTGGCAGTCACTGATGAAGTCGCACAGGTGGTCTGCCGGGATGCAGTAGCCGTTAGCGCAGGCAAACTCGTCTTTCCGACACGGCCTGTCGGGGGCCCGCGGGGGGGCGCAATCCTGGAAGGACACGTCGTCCACTACTACGTCACCCATGTAGCTGATGCCACGCTTGGCCCGGAGGACCACCTGATGCAGGTGGAGAAAAGGGAAGACTCTCACTTCACTGCAATTGGCCAACACAGTCACATGATTGGGAAAAATGCTAAAATAAAATCATAATTAGTGCCCAAAGGGTAATATTTCAAAGCTGACTCCACAGTCTCAGTCACAAAGTCTCAGTGCATGACCCCAAGCCTGACTCAAAGCCTCAGTACAGGAGAGTCTCAGTCACAGAGTCTGTGTGAGTCTATTCTCATTCGCTGTTTTACAGCTGTCCTTTTAAGGATTGTTTGCTAAAAATTTTACTTTGTTGTTCGCCTGATGATTTCTTCGCCACTTGAGTGTCACAATATTTTATTTATTAGACCTACTACGACATATTTATAATTCATTATTAAATCTGGCCAGCAAACTGATCTTGTGATTCCCACAGAATTAAAATAAACTACAGTGTCATTCTGCTAATAAGCTGGCTAGTTGTTTCACTGCCAGCACCGGTGATATTAGACAAAACTATATTGGTTATGGACTGAATTTTCAGGGTTTGCGAAAGGTGTGGATGAGACAGCTCGTCCCACTTTATCTGACGTTAAAGTTCCAAATTCTGAGACCAGTTTTTTTGTGGTGTCGTGCTGGCACCATTTTTTTCTGGCCCAGGGTCACTTTTTTGTGGTGGAAATGAGCAGAACTGGTCCTGGACTGGGAAAAACTGGCACCATGTTGCTGGAAACGAGTGTGTGACACCTCAGTGGAACCACCGTATTTGGTAGTTCATTCTGCGTATTGGAGAGCATCCTCAGGGAAGACCTGCACCCACCCCAGGGTGTAAAGTCCCGTCTCAAAGTTAACAGCGTCATTTTTATCGCACGGCTGAGTGTAAAGGGCATCAGACTCTCTGATTGGCTCTTCGATTACGTCGCTTCCTGAGGCAGTGTGAATCACAATGTGGTGTCGAGCTGATAAATGTTAATGAATATCAGCAGAGGCATCCAAAGGTCAAATCCACGCTCCTTCGCTCAGAGCAAGCCTTCCTAGTACAAGCTGTGATTTTGGGTGTCTTACATTTTATCGGCATGGAATTTATAATGTTAAATCACAACTGTACTTGAATTGGTGGATCAGGCATCATTGTTCAGCCAGTTTTGCTTGTTTTTACAAGCAAAGTACAAATAGTAATTTGAAATATTACAAATAATTGGCCTTAATGTTTACTGTAATAGCAACACACATCAAATCAAGTTTGATACTGAGATGAAATGCAAAGGGCAATTTTAGGATTTTTTTAAGGTGGGGGGGTAAGAGGGGCCAAAATTCATGCAGAAGGGCCAAAAACATCATTAGCCAATGATATGTTTTGAATCTGTGAGTGACAGGGGAGGAGGTTCTCCAGGGGCCAATCAGCTTTCTTCTAGAGCCACTGTGGCCCTGCCCTTGTATACACTCCCGCAAACAAGTTTTTTCAACCAAATGCCTGTCGTCTTCTGCCACTCTGGTCCCTTTTTAAGCTCCATGGCCTTCTGGTTTTCCCCAAAGACACACCATTAGGTCAGAATCAAACACTTACCCACCCCATGATGCAACACTGCACACATTAACCACACGTGTTTGCTTCTGCACATATACCCTATAAGCCAACCTGGAAGTCTCTCTGGATTCCCAGGAAGACTTCACCTCGCCTCCATCGGTATCCCTGAGAGCCACTCTCAGACCAGAGCTCGTGAGTCACATTTCCAAACTTCCCCAGTACCTGGCATTATGTAACAGGAAACAGGAAGTGGTAAGACTTTCAAGAAAGATGATTGGCCAACAACCAACAGAAGGCGGTACAAGTTTCAACCTATGGTGAAGGGACTATTTAGTTTAAAAAATTACCTTAACTGACTCATAAATTTAAGGCTATCCATATCCATAATATAACTATGAGTAATAAAACATTAGCCCAGCAACCATTCATAAATAATAATAATCAGACGTGGCCAGGCTCACCTGAAGGGTACCCACAGTAAAACCGCTCATATGGTACCAGAACACCAGGGTGCAGCGGGGTCCCGTGCCGATGATCGGGGGGGTCAGTAGGTCGGCAGTGTGGCTGAAGCCGCCATTGGAGCTGTCAGCGTACATGTACCAGCCATCTGAGGTACCACTGGGGTGAAAAAGAGGGGGTCAGATACAGAACCCTAAAGTAGGACCAGTGACCCTGAGAGCAATGGGGCCCGCCGAGGGGGATTCTGGAATCACTGAGGATTCACATCTTTGTTTAGATGCCGCTGAGCCTCGATACATGCCTGCACTGTTTTGGTTATCCTTTTACTTAAGTTATCTAGGTCTGACCACCAGTAATTATCTAAGTTAATAAAGACAACACAGTTATGTATATTTGTATCATTCTGTGGGGGACCAATTTTTCAGAATTCTAGATTCTAGTACTTCTTCAGACATATAAAATACAGAAAGGGAAAAGGAAAAAACGCAGGGTAGCTTCCTCATAATCATCAGTGTACGTAGGGGTGCTACGTGAGGCTGGCCTCATACCAGTAAGCCTGGAAACGCAGCACACCTACAGTACTTGCGGATCAGACATGTGCCAAAAGGGGCCAAACGACAAATGAGATTTGCCACTGAATAAAGGCAAAACTTCCTATTGGCTATGGACAACACTACCCCAAAGCTTATGGTCCATGTAGTAAACAATGCAAATAACCCAGAGGTTCCATTAGCATTGGAAACGAGGTTTAAGGATAGACCAGCTATAATCTGTAGGAAGATCTCACTCTCAGAGCTGCTGTAATGCAATGTAATGTAATGTTTCATTTTACAGGGCAGGGGTCACAGTCAACAACAGCCTTGAATAAGCTGGGTTAACACCAGCCACTGGAGGGAAGGGAAAGGGGTTGATTACAGTGTCACCATGGGAACAAAAATGGAAAGACTAACAATTGGCCCCACATGATGGAAAGAGGTGCTGGTTTTCCTTGCAGGAGCACTGGATGGCCCAAAGAAGGCAGGGCGCTTACTGGGTGTGGTCTTTAGCGGGCCGGTGGGTCTCCTCGCCATAGTGGATGGACCGGCCCTGTCCATGGATCCAGCGGAAGATGTGTGGAGAGACGTCAGCCACGTCCTGGTACCAGCCGCAGCGGCCGCCCGGCTCGAAATCGCAAGTCTCCGCCACTGTCGGGGTCGAGGGGAGTCTTCAGCAGGAGAGCCAAGCTTAAAAACATCTCAGAGGAGGGGGGCTGGACGCTCACCACAGTCCTGCTCATCCGTGCCGTCGTCACAGTCCCGGTGGAAGTCGCAGTGATGGGCCAGGCTGATGCACTCCCCCGTGCTGCCACACACCAGCTGCCCGTCCGCACAAGTGCCTCCTGTGCCCGTCGGTGAGATGGTGATTCCCGGGGGAGTCGTGGATCCTGGCATGGGGAGATCCCCTGAACACACGAATGAGAGGGGGTGGGCATCGACTACATAACGTCGGAGGCAGGAAGTGGTTCAAAATTTACTGTAAACATACAGCTAAAATGCTACAGAATGTCAAGAAGACATGAAGTGGTGCAAGATGTACTGTAAATGTGTGGCTGAAATTGCTCACAGCTGATTTTGACATAAAAAAGGATATAAATTTCCTCTATGAATCTCATATGTATTACAATAACACTACACTAGCAATAAGGTGTGATTAGCATTCCGTAGGGTGGATGACCTGCGCTATGTCAGTGTTCTCTGATGACACGGTGAGTTAGGTGTGTAAGGGTGGTTACCATCATGAGGGATGCAGTCTAGGAAGGACAGATCATCGATGGCGATGTCTCCTGTGAAGTCATCCCCCACTGTGCCCTCCACCAAGATCTGTGAGCAGAGAGCAGACAACATTGCCAAGTTTGACCTGGAAGGAGAAGCCAGCGACTGATATCTTAGATAGATATCAAAGCCAAAGAAGTGCACCAATATCTGGTATGCACTGTGGCGATATTACGGTAGGCTACTGAAAGTGGCTTAGATTAGCAAATGATTTAGGGACGGTCCTCAGCCTCAACTGTGTCAAGACATAGTCCCAGCTGATGGAACCGATGAGAGAATAAATACTGTCGTCTTCTTGTCATCTGTTGCCTAGCAACAGCCAAGACGAGGGAAAATTGATGCTAAATATCCTATTTTTTCCCCCCGGATGGGACCAGCACCTCCAGTTGGCTGGCGTTTGAGAAACCAGGTGCTAGTGTCGGCCCTGATGACCAACATGCTAATCATTGACCGCAAAGAGCCCAGTCTATGGCACTTTCCAATTTCACACGGCTTAATGGCCGTGCCACCTGGCCAGGAGCACATGCCACCCACGGCACTGTGCCCGGAGATGAACTCTGCATGTATGTGGTTACCACAGCCCCTCCAGCTTCAGGATACTGACTACGATTCACATTTCACACCATTACGATTCGACAACATGCATTTGACTGCTTAAGGCTTAATTGCATGCTTATTTTCGGGCTTCAGATATTGATGGCGAGAGGAATGACAGATGGGTTCGGGCCATTCTAATCCGAACATGTTCCCCACGCTCGACGAACAGATCTTCGGCGTTGACAGGAGCTCTGCTGGATTTAACGAAAGCTAACCAGACAGACGGCAAAACGGCATACGGGGACGTCATGGTTTTATAGAGATTTTTAAAGTATCCCTCCATTTTTAAGGTCCTCAAAACACTAAATCCAGCCTTAAAGAAGCGCAGCACCGTTGATGTTCTTGGAAATGATGAAGAATCGATTCGTTAGCATAGCTTGGGGTAATGTACCTAATTATGAGTCATTAAACGTACATTAATGGGCAATGTGAGTGGCTCCATTTGTGGTACAGGCTGTTTGGATGTGCATTGATTGATGGATCCATCTGAGTTGTTACATTCCCCCTCTTCAAGTCTTAAATCACCGCTCATTGAAGTAAATACTTCCCGCTTCCTGTTACAACATCAACTTTTGTCACCACGACAAACGCTCAAACATTACCCAGGTTTGACGATGCAGTGAATGCAAGGGAAGCATTCCAGCTGCGGCAGGAAATCTGCAAACCACTGTTGTCCCTGACAATACTGTTTCCATCATTGCTGGGCCCATCAAACTTATTATACTGCAAATATTAATTAACAAATACACTCTCTGGCCAAAAAAAACCCCTAAAAAATGGTGCACATTCATCAGTGCATTGTTTTCACGTGTTTATGCAACATCTCAACATTTTTCTTCATCCAGATTTGCATTAATTTCTTGTGGCATTGATGATATGTTAGTTGAACCACTCTGTAAAGTTTTCTTCAGCACATCCCAAAGACCTTCAATGAGGTTAAGGTCAAGACTCTGTGGTGGCCAATCCACATGTGTAAATGAGTCCTCATGCTGCATGGACCACTCATTGACAATTCTAGCCAGATGAATCTTGGCATTATTGCCCTGGAATATGCCCATGCCATTTGGAAAGACTAGATCCGTTGATGGGATAACCAGGCCATTCAGTAGATTCAGGTACTCAGCTGACTTTACTTTATTGCCGCATAACGTTACTGAGCTGTAATAATGATCCAATCATTGGCTCTTAAGTACTTGCTAATTTAAATTCAAACTGTGATTTTTTTTTGGCCAGGCAGTGTACTAATTACCGCCATGTGTCACCATCGTTGACAGAATGAGCCTCAATCTTATGACAGTAGGTGTCCCAGCACATCCAGAGGTCTCATAAACAGTAACCTGTATAAACATTATATATAAATATTTTTATTTAAACATATATTTATGCCTGTGACCAAAATCACTTAATTGAAATGAAGTGTTTATAAGCTGATATCAGATGTATGTTTTACATGTAAACCACATACGGAATTATTTGGCAGGTGATATTCTTGGTGATAATTTTCAGCAAAACGTAGGCAAAGTGATACAAGTTAAGGTATTACTATTATATAGGGAGAAAATACTTACAGTAGTCTGTCACAAACAAAGGTAAAAGAAGTTTGCCAAATTATCAGGCAATAAGAAAGTAAGTGGATTTGTCTCGCTTCACAGAAAGGATAATTAAAAATATTTAAAGCAGTTTTGCTTATTGAATCTATATAAAGAATAATTAACTATCAGCCATTCTATATAGTCCACTTTATCAAGTTTAATGCCACCATTCTACTCTATGACCATCATGAACCTATTATCTATTGAACCCGTCAAGTTTTTGATTTGATCACAATTTATATTATCAGCTGAAGCAGCAAGGACAGCCTCCTAGGAGCTGCTCTGAGAGGTGTACTGATTGCTATCTTGGCAAATCTCACACCTAAGTAAGACCAAGTGGTTCTCAATAGGGTGTAATGCTGTGTTCCATCTGAACTTGTAACTCAGAAATTCCGAGTATCTAGTTGGAAATTTCCACTGGAGCCCCCCCCGGAGTACAAATTCTGAATCGTGAACTTGGGGGAATCGACACAATCCAAACATCAGAATCTAAGATGGCCACGCCCTTTATCAACAGAAGTTAAAGCTGTAGTTTTATACTGTTTATCAGCACTTACGTATTATTTGTGACTCATTAAATCAGTTGTACACACAGTACTGTCCAACCGCTATCTGTGAACATGTAGCTACGTAAAATACCGCCTAATGTGTTGTTATCCACTGATATTGCTAACGATGGCTAACAATTAACCAAGCTAGCACTGGGGCATGTTTCATTAAGAAGGATTTCTCCCTTAAGATAAGAGATAAGAGAGCACAGAGCCGCAGAATCTAGACTCGCCGCCATCTTGAAAAGAAGGACCAACTTGTCAGATCTAAGGTGGTCTGGGCTAAATTTAAGTGGACAAAGATAAAGGCCATTTAAAGTGGAGTAAATTAAATCTGACAAGAAATCTTACTTTTTGAAATGTGTTCCTGGTACTGCTAAATGGCTTTCCGACTTGTTGTACTGGAACGCTGTTAACTCGTGTGTGACGTCATTCCCAGTTCCGAGTTCTGATCTCCGAAGTAAATGGAAGGCAGTGTAAGTCAGACAATGAAGGGGGCCAGGTCATCATTAGATCACCTTTCAAGGCTTTCTTGGGCAGCCAATTTATTGAACGCTTTGATGTGTTAATTCCCAGGCCTATCATTTGAGCTTGTGTGCCTTGTGGAGTGGAGGTTGCATTTAAGGCTTTGTAACCATAGCGATGTCACATAGCACACTGCACCTAGTACTAGAGAATCTATTCAGATTGCAGTTCTGAAAACTTTATGCTAAAGTGTTTCTGGAAGAGTCCCACTTAATCTGGTGCAAATTTACATCTTCTTTACATACTTTATCCGCTTTCTTTGGATGCTGGCCACAAAACATTTGATAGTACAGTGATCACATTTTAAAAGTTTGTCAGTTTCCATTCTTTTGCATCCCTCTGACAGGTATTTTACTATTTTCTTTTTTCACTCTCTGTAAGGTCTTCTTGGCTCATTTTAATAGTAATAACAATTTGCCTAATTCTGCAGAAAGTACTCAGGCCAAATACTGAGCATGCTCTATTTTATTAGTCTGAAGAGAGGATACAAGTAAAATACACACTTGCCTAATAATTCTGTGTCAGCTTGAGTTCTTATTTGAGACCGTATTTGGGCGTATCTTGATATGGTAGCTGTCCATCACATATATATTACTGTGTGCATACTGCATTACAAGTTGGATATAGTCATTATTAGGTTAGCAGCGCTGCCTATTTTCCTGCACCTGTAGCACTAAGCGATACACGCTAACGCCTTACTGTGTCTGCTTACAAGCGCCTCTCAGTCAATGTATATAATTTACTATGGATCTCGTATGCAAGTATGATCAGACATGGCTATCGGGCGTTACATGATGTAAGAATGTGCACACACACAGACACCGACCCACACACACACCAACACACACGCACAGACACTGACACATACAGAGTTACAGACACACAGACACATACAGACACATACAGAGCCACAGACACACAGACACCGACACACACGCACAGACATAGACACGTACAGAGCCACAGACACACACACGCACATAGACACAGAGACCCTCACACAGAGACACACAGACACACACTAAGGGTTTTATATGCCCTGTTTCATGTTTTTAATTTATTATTAGATCTTTAGTTTTCCATCTTGTAATTATGCCTTGGTTTTCTTACAGATTAGTGGAATATAGACATTACACTGCTTTCTCTTCTGTTGCGCTTTTCTACTGGCTCATAAAATAGCCCAAGTAGCCCCCTATTTCATGTACCATTTTATATACATGGCGTAATAATGGATTGTGGCACACCCGTGTCATGTGCCTTAGGGCGACTAAAATTCCTATACTGCACTCTCTTTTGTCTTGCACTGTCTTGTCCTTTATCACACTGCTGCTTTGTCCTGTATTGCAGTGCTGCCTAGTCCCTTAAAGCACTGTGGTCTTGTCCTTTATCACACTGCTGCTTTGTCCTGTATTGCAGTGCTGCCTAGTTCCTTAAAGCACTGTAGTCTTGTCCCTTATCGCACTGCTGCTTTGTCCTATATTGCAGTGCTGCCTAGTCTCTTAAAGCACTGTGGTCTTGTCCCTTATCACACTGCTGCTTTGTCCTGTATTGCAGTGCTGCCTAGTCCTTTATTGCACTGCTGTCATATTTGTCCCCCCATGCCCCCTGTAATCTTCCCTGCAACTGAGACACAAGAATTTCACAGTGTTCCTTGAAACCTTGACATTTGAAACTTTTGAAGGCCTTCATACAAATGGCCCCCAGGTAACTTGAGTTTAAGGCCCCTGCAATTGCGTTAAGATAACCAACAATCCACCTTCATTGCCGGGCTTGAACTCCCGTTGCAGGTGAATTCAACATTCCGGTAAAGTGTTTTATAGGCAAGCTTGATTCCTCAATCTTACCTGGAACGGCTGGGTGCTGATTAATGTGAGTGCTTCCTGGTGCCAAAGGTTCCCTAGGTCACCAAAGCGTGCCCACAGCTGCTGGCCCCGCCCACTGGCCACCGTGCGCAGGTACACTGCCAGGCGGAAGACGTGCTGGCCATACATGTGGTAGCTGAAGCGGAAAATGCAGGGCCGGACACCGGTGGAGCTCGCCTGGAAGATGCGGCTCACCAGCACTGCTGTGTCCATAAACTCCTGCGGGCTGGAGGCCTCAATGAACAGGTAGTGCCCATTGACGTGGCCAAGGGTGTGGTCCTTCCAGGGGCCCGTGTTTGGTGTGGGCGTGGGGCCCTGGATGCGGGTCCAGTCAAAGACGTCCTCCTCGGCCATCTGAGTCCAACTACACAGGCCATTCTCAAAGCTGCACTGCAGGTCTGGAGCTGAGAGTGTAAGGAGAAGCATTAGAGGACAGAGAGAGGCGGGTGATACGATGGGGAGGACACTGGGGTAGAGGGCGAGGAAGACAGAGTGAAGAGGAAAAGGGGGAAAAGAACATTTAGAGGAGAAGGTGAAGAGGAAGAGGGGAGGAGAACATCGAGAGGAGAAGGTGAAGAGGAGAAGGGGAGGAGAACTTCGAGAGGAGAAGGTGAAGAGGAAAAGGGGGAGTAGAACATCAAGAGGAGAAGGCGAAGAAGAGAAGGAGAACATCAAGAGGAGATAAACAATGTAAAGGGAAGGAGAATATAAAGAGAAGAAGGTAAAGAGGAAGAAGGGGGAGACATCAAGATTAGAAGGTGAAGAGGAGAAGAGGGAGTAGAACATCAAGAATAGAAGGTGAAGAGAAGAAGGTGACTAGGGGCAAGGAGAGAAGAATATCAAGACAAGAAGAAGAGGAGAATAGGGGAGGAGAACATAAGGGAGGAGAAGGTAAGTAGGAGAAGGGGGGAGTACATTCAGAGGAGAAGATGAAGAGGAGAAGAGGCAGGAGAGCATCATCAATAGGAGAAGGTAAAGAGGAGAAGGGGTGGTGATCACTGTGAGAAGAGTATGAGAAAAAGAACATGAAATGCAGAACACAAGGTGGGGGAGGGGAATGTGTGCATGTGTGTGACGGTCATTAGCAAGGTGCCTCCTGGAAGGGCAGCTGACTGCTGAACATAATTCTTAAGCTGATTTCCTCCCGGGAAACCTGTCAGTATGCAATGATAATACATGAAAACCCCAGGCTGGCAGAATGAATTTGCAAAGCAGTGTCTGCTAGGCAGTAAAATCTTTAATTTCCTATTGAGGTGCGAGGATGGGTACTCCTTGAGACTGAAGCCTGGATCTTTGTACAGCTCTTTATTTTTCTGGAGATCAGATGTAACTGTTTCCAAATGTTCAACAGCAGTCCTCAACTTTATCAAGCAGTATGGATCACAAACCTGAATCCTTAACTACTATGTTCCCTGCAGGTCTTATCTGAACATCACCGCGCCCATTGTCGAGGGTGACCACTCACAGCAGCCTTCCTCATCAGAGCCATCACCACAGTCGTCGATGAGGTCACACCGCAGTAGATGGTCAATGCAGGCCAGACTGCGGGCACAGTGGAAGCGGTTGCTAGGGCAATGGACCACTGGAGGCGGCAGGGAGCAGTTGTGAAAGACAATGTCGTCCAGGGCGGAGATGCCTTCGTAAACAGCCAGGCTGACCTTGGCCAGGGAAAACTGGAATGGGTGTGTGAGGCGGCCCAGCTGCACTGTGACTGGGTGCCACTCCCTGCCCTGGTCGTACAGAGTCCTCCACACCACTGTGATGTTGTCCATGCCGTCAATGCGCAGGTACATGTCCGCTGCCCCCACAGAGCGCCCTGCGTTGTAGTGCCTACAGGGAATTAAAATGTACACTCTCAAAGGTGACAGCCATCTTGGCTCAAGGACTCTGTCACAGGTGGCGGCCATCTTGGTTCACACAGCTAATGTAACTATGAAATCCTCCCTTCGTACTTCAAATAAATTCAATTTATTTTTATAGAGTGCCTTTCACAATAGAGTTGCCCCAAGGCACTTGACAAGACTGTGTGGCGGTCCTTTACTTACTTCCACTACTAGCCGATATTAAAAACCCACCACATACACGAGAGAGAATGACAGCATCTAGTAAACCTGAACTGCCAGCAATCTAAATGCAGGTGTACATAGACATAAAATCAATTGCTTCTGAAGGGAACTGGTCTTCAGATAAAAAGTTAGCGGCATGTCAAGCAACTGACTTCAGAAGTGCTTCTGAGGCTGCTTTTGATACTGTAATCGATTGCCACGTCACAGACAAAACCAATGTTCGGCTTCATTTAGAGCTCTACCTTTCATGATCTTTTAGAAGACCGGGCCCAAAAATAAGCCCTGTTATCAAAGCATCACTTGACGACTGGACACAGGAGCTTAGAAGTTTAAGTCCAAGTCATTTTATTTATTTAGCAGATGCCTTTTATCCAATTTCTTGGGGTCAGAGTGCAGGGTCAGCCAGTCCCTGAAGCAGCTGGGGTTAAGGGCCTTGCACAATAGCCTAATGGTGATTTACTCTGCAAGCCACAGGAACCCACAACCTTCTGAACATGGCCACAGACCCTTAATCCCTGGACCTACACACCAGCCTATTTTTATTAAGCCCTGAGTCTGAGCATACAACCATAGGAAACTTAGATTCACTTATTAATGAAATTCTAACATTTAATGAAAAACTATACAACTACAACTTAAAACAGGGATTTGACTTCGTAACTCCATGCTTAATGAAAGACGATGCAAATAATCAAATTTAAAAAAAATGCTGTTTCTAAACAGCTCCCTCTAAATAGAATAAAACAGAGAAGCGTTCTCACATGGTCACTGAAATGCTTTCAGCCAGACTCGAGAGACAAGCTGTCACGCTTCCCAGCCTCCCTGCTGCCTCCGAACAGCTGCTCATCCCCGCACCGCAGCGGGGGGCGTGTGGGTTTATGTCGCCCAAAAGGAGGCGGTATGCCTCCCTCCATTTACAAAACTCTAGGGAACGACTTGTGTGTCAGCACACTTGTCTGGAGCATTCACAATTATTTATTTTATTTGAAGCTACACTTACATGTCTTTTTTTTTGTGAAAGCACGGTCAGCCAGTCCCTGTAGTAATTGGAGGTTAAAGGTCTTACTTAAGGTCCCAACAGTAAAATTGCTTGTCTAGTCAACACATTTGAAACAGTGACCATACAGTTACAAGTACAGAGGCCCAACCTGCAGAGCCACACACAGGGATTTGAACCAGCAGCCTTCTGATGACAGGTACAGAGACCCAGCCTGCAAAGCTACATGCAGCATCAGTTAGCTGGGTCATGGGAGTGAACCCATATTGTAACCCTTCCCTCTACTGTAAGTCACTTTGGATAAAAGAGTCAGTTAAAGCCAGGGTGAATCAGGGTGAAACAGCAGCCGAACATCAGTATCATGCAAGCAGCACTTTCGCTCACCAGAAGGTCACTGTGCATCCAGATGCTGCCTGGCTGTACTTGGGACCCCTGAGCAAAGCCTTCTGGGAAAGGCAGCTGCTGTTCTTCAGGAGGAACATGAATCCTCCTGCGGGTAGGGGGCAGCAAGAGCACAGAGCTACAGGTTAGCTGGGGAGGAACAATAACGAGGGCTGTGTTGCCTCAGGCTTAATTACAAACCAAGCCATTTATTGTGACAGGGAGTTATGGGTATGGTTCTGAGAGCCCCAGATATGTGTTGTTTTTGCAATGACAACTATTTATTGTACCACAGAATATACAAAAAGCCTCAAGAAAAGATCTCCTACTGTGTAACTCTATGAATGGTTGGTAAATGATGTCAAAGCTCACATAAACCAGGAGCCAATCCCAAACTATACCCTGGACACTCCGCCTTCATTTCGAGTCACACTCCCGCTGAGTCACCCTCACAACACGCCCTATGCACTTAAACTGAAGGAAACTGTCACAAGAAAGATTTGAGACAGACTTGCCCTCTTGCCCTTGTTTTTACAGTCTTCTTTACCGGAAAGAGGAAATGCATTACGTAGTGATTTGACAAAATGAAGAAGCTGTATTGTATTTTCTTTAATGACATATCAGTTATTTAAAAAAGCACAAAGTTTATCTAATGCGAGAAGACGACGGCTACGTCGAATAACTCTTGCTTTGGTTATCCGCACGAGGCAACCAAAGTAATCTAAATGAAGCTGGTTGTAAAGACTTAAGGTTTTAAGTATGGTCACATGCTGAAGTTATTTTATGCATCTACTTAATAAAGGAGACAGAAAACTATAAGAAAGACAGGAAAAGCAGTCAGATGAACATTTCCCTGCGGAGATGAGCCCTCCCACCTTCTGTGGAGTTAGTGGTGTGGTCCCGTGGGGGGGCCAGGCCCTGGAACGGTGGGGGGACGGCTGCAGCTGTGCTCCTGACCCAGTCGAACCCGTCTCCCTGGGCAAACTCAAACCAGCCGCAGGAGTCGTACTCGAAGTCACAGGACGAGGCTGGAGCAGAGACAGATGGAGTGAGCTGGACTCTCTGGAGGGAGACCCTAAGCTCAAAGTCAGGCCGTCAAGTATCACGAAAGGAGCAGGCCCACAAAACCTCACGGAACTCCTGTGTAGATACATCCAGAGCCAAAGCTTGGGCAGCTTAATCCCCCTGGAAATAGCAGCACTCGGGACCAGTTGGGGTTAATAGGTGTTTCCCGGGATAACATGGGGTCTATGGGGCACTCACTCAGACACCCCCCCCCCCCCCCCCACACACACACACACACACATACACACTCCCGACTCACGGCACTTGGCTTCATCCTCTCCGCCCGGGCAGTGGGCAGTGAAGTCACACACAAAGCGATCACTGATGCAATCCCCGGAGTGGCACCGAAAGGACCTGGGTGGACAGGCCGTAGGGGGTGGGGATGAGGGAGGAGGTAAGGGTGGGGGTGGAGAAGGGGGCGGAGGGAGGAGTGGGGGGGAGCCAGTGCCCTCTGGAAAAAGAAGAAGAACGGAATTTAGGTGTAACACTTGCATATAGACAAAAATGGCCCCCAATCATCACCCTGCTTACCCATCGATCATTCAACTGTCTGTCCAGCACAAGACTGCGGGAAGCAGGCTGGAGCCTGTCCCAGGCAGCAGAGGATAAAAGGCAGGGGGACACCTTGGACGGGATGCCAGTCCATCACAGGGCACGAGGCAGGGGGACACCCTGGATGGGATGCCAGTCCATCAAAGGACACGAGGCAGGGGGACACCCTGGACGGGATGCCAGTCCATCACAGGGCACGAGGCAGGGGGACACCCTGGACGGGATGCCAGTCCATCACAGGGC